AGAAAAAAAAACTGTGTGTTTGTGTCCCTTGTACCTGACAATTGCATGGATCATAAACATGGGCCTTGATAAGGGAGATGGGGAGAAGATTTATCATACAAATGTTTTTGTAGATGTGAAATTCCCGTAATTGCACCGAGAGACGGAGTGTACGAGGAGGACAAGGTTCAAACAGCGTGACCAGGGCAAGTCACAAGTGGCGAATTGGGGTGCAGATTCCGAGTGGGTGAGAGAGCTGACGCGTTAGGCATCTAACCATGGTCCACAGTGCACGATAACGATCGGCGTTTTCATACACGGCATAAATCATTCAAACTGCATCTCACAACGCCGCACAATCCACACGCTGCGTAGAAGCAAAAATAGTCGGTCTATTAAAATGTCATCAGCTTAACAAGTCCATTTTATTACACGCGTGTGAGGATAACTGGAGCACATGGAGAAAACACGCACGTGCTAGGAGGCAAGGCAGACGGAACAGATGGAGATTCGTCCACATTTTTCTTTATTACAAAAGCAACGAGAATGCATGTCCGTGTGTATGTGGAACTTCTTTCGCACCGCACGTAGCCAACCGTGCTAGTCGGAGGTCTTACGACCCGGCGATAGGGACGCGTTTAGAAGACGTTCATGAGACCAGTAGCGAACACGAGGGTCTCATTTATGGACTCGAATTAAAAGCCAAAGAGCCAACTTTGGTCCAAAGGTTTCAACCACATTCCAAAGTCGGTTCATTTTCTAAGGGGGTGGGGGGTGCGGGAGGAGGATCAGATATTGTGCACCACATAGACGAGGTGAACCCCAGGGGTCACAAAGACTGTGTCGAGTCAGAAACGAGAAGATGGGGAAGGTGGCAACAAGGAGTGGATGTTGGAACCGAATCTCGGACACACTGGAATAAACCATAATAGATGTGTTCTTGGTTCTTTCGGTAAAGTCACGTAGAAGGGAAATAATAAAAATACAACATAATAAAATACAATTCTCACGACGTTTCGGCCACAACGCAAGTAGCCGTCCTCAGGTGAAGAATAGGTCTGTCGGAAAGACAGCGTTCATTCAAACGCTTCATTCAAACGCTGTTTTTCCGACAGACCTGTTCTTCACCTGAGGACAGCTGCTTGCGTTGTGGCCGAAACGTCGTGAGAATTGTGGCCGAACCGTCGTGAGAATTGTATTTTATGATGTTTTATTTTTATTATTTTATCATTTCCCTTCTACGTGACTTTACCGAAAGAACCAAGAAGATGAATCCCTACAGTCACGAAAGCTTTCAATCGAAACATAATAGAGGTGTTCTTGGGTTAGATTGCGTACAAATAAATGCGACATTAAACCTGCCACCACTCGGCACGGACAATTAGTAAAGTTTGTCACGTAAACAACAACAAATGCCAATTTGTTCCTGTGTCGGGTGGTGGCGGGTTTAACGACGCGTTTATATTTACGCGATCTAATTCCAAAAAAACCCTCTAATATGGATATTGGTCGCGAAAGCCTACGCGTTAAACTGACATTAAAATAAGGTCTACTGAGATGGCTTAAGTAGGACATGTTAGAGCAAAACCACATCATAAAAAACACACTTGATGAACGTATGGAAGCACCAGGGTGCAGAGGCAGGCCTAAATATGTAACGTTTTTTATGTATTTAATCAGGTAAGACTCAGTGGGCTATATAGCTATTTTTCCAGAAGCGACCTGGCCACAAATGATAGCCCAACGAAGCGGCGTATCGTGTGGAAATGTATCGCAGCCAAATGCTCTAAACACGTTTTGTTTCTCAACGTAGAGGGGAAAACCGGAGGACCCAAAGAAAATTAACACGACCACGTGGAGAACACACAAAATCCAAATATACAGCAGGCTTCAGGGTCGGGATCCAAACCCACGACCTCCTGTGTACCAGGCGAGGTGGTTAACATCTCATAGCCACCGTGATGATGATGAGAGAGAGAGAGAGACACGTAAACTCCACATACACAGCAGGCGTCAGGGTCGGAATCGAACCCACGACCTCCTGTACACCAGGCGAGGTGGTTAACATATCCTAGCCACCATGATGATGATGAGAGAGAGATACGCAAACTTCAAATCTACAGCAACAGGTGTCAGGGTCGGGAATCGAACCCACGCCCGCTCCTGTGTACCAGGCGAGGTAGTTAACATCTCCTAGCCACCGTGATGATGAGAGAGAGAGACACACACACAAACTCCAAATATACAGCAGGCGTGAGGGTCGGGATCAAACCCACGACCACCTGTACACCAAGCGAGGTGGTTAACATCTCCGAGCCACCGTGATGATGATGTGAGGGAGACACGCAAACTCCAAATATACAGCAGCAGGCATCAGGGTCGGGATCGAACCCACGACCTCCTGTGTGCCAGGCGAGGTAGTTAACATCGCATAGCCACCGTGATGATGATGAGAGAGAGAGACACGCAAACTCCAAATATACAGCAGCAGGCATCAGGGTCGGGATCGAACCCACGAACTCCTGTACACCAGGCGAGGTAGTTAACATCTCCTAGCCACCGTGATGATGATGATGATGATGACAGAAAGACACGCAAACTCCAAATATACAGCAGCAGGCGTCAGGGTCGGGATCGAACCTACGACCTCCTGTACACCAGGCGAGGTAGTTAACATCTCATAGCCACCGTGATGATGATGAGAGAGACACGCAAACTCCACATACACAGCAGGATTCAGGGTCGGGATCCAAACCCACGACCACCTGTACACCAGGCGAGGTAGTTAACATCTCCTAGCCACCGTGATGATGATGAGAGAGACACGCAAACTCCACCTACACATCAGGCGTCAGAGTCGGGATCGAACCCATGCGCTCCTGTGTACCAGGCGAGGTAGTCAACATCTCCTAGCCACCGTGATGATGATGAGAGAGAGAGACACGCAAACTCTAAATATACAGCAGCAGGCATCAGGGTCGGGATCCAAACCCACAACCTCCTGTACACCAGGCGAGGTAGTTAACATCTCATAGCCACCGTGATGATGATGAGAGAGACACGCAAACTCCACATACACAGCAGGATTCAGGGTCGGGATCCAAACCCACGACCACCTGTACACCAGGCGAGGTAGTTAACATCTCCTAGCCACCGTGATGATGATGAGAGAGAGAGACACGCAAACTCTAAATATACAGCAGCAGACATCAGGGTCGGGATCCAAACCCACAACCTCCTGTACACCAGGCGAGGTAGTTAACATCTCATAGCCACCGTGATGATGATGAGAGAGACACGCAAACTCCACATACACAGCAGGATTCAGGGTCGGGATCCAAACCCACGACCACCTGTACACCAGGCGAGGTAGTTAACATCTCCTAGCCACCGTGATGATGATGAGAGAGACACGCAAACTCCACCTACACATCAGGCGTCAGAGTCGGGATCGAACCCATGCGCTCCTGTGTACCAGGCGAGGTAGTCAACATCTCCTAGCCACCGTGATGATGATGAGAGAGAGAGACACGCAAACCCCAAATCTACAGCAGCAGGCGTCAGGATCGGGATCAAACCCACGACCTCCTGTACACCAGGCGAGGTAGTTAACATCTCCTAGCCACCGTGATGATGATGATGAGAGACGCAAATTTCAAATACACAGCAGGCATCAGGGTCGGGATCGAACCCACGACCTCCTGTACACCAGGCGAGGTAGTTAACATCTCCTAGCCAACGTGATGATGATGAGAGAGACACGCAAACTCCACCTACACATCAGGCGTCAGAGTCGGGATCGAACCCATGCGCTCCTGTGTACCAGGCGAGGTAGTTAACATCTCCTAGCCACCGTGATGATGATGAGAGAGAGAGACACGCAAACCCCAAATCTACAGCAGCAGGCGTCAGGATCGGGATCAAACCCACGACCTCCTGTACACCAGGCGAGGTAGTTAACATCTCCTAGCCACCGTGATGATGATGATGAGAGACGCAAATTTCAAATACACAGCAGGCATCAGGGTCGGGATCGAACCCACGACCTCCTGTACACCAGGCGAGGTAGTTAACATCTCCTAGCCACCGTGATGATGATGAGAGAGACACGCAAACTCCACCTACACATCAGGCGTCAGAGTCGGGATCGAACCCATGCGCTCCTGTGTACCAGGCGAGGTAGTCAACATCTCCTAGCCACCGTGATGATGATGAGAGAGAGACACGCAAACCCCAAATCTACAGCAGCAGGCGTCAGGATCGGGATCAAACCCACGACCTCCTGTACACCAGGCGAGGTAGTTAACATCTCCTAGCCACCGTGATGATGATGATGAGAGACGCAAATTTCAAATACACAGCAGGCATCAGGGTCGGGATCGAACCCACGACCTCCTGTACACCAGGCGAGGTAGTTAACATCTCCTAGCCACCGTGGCGCCAAGACGGAGAGGAGGTTGCAAGTGTTGAGGCCAGGATGTGAGAGACTGTGGAATGGACGTGGAAGATTATGGATGACCCAGGACAGGAGTGCGTGGTGGAAGAGGCACAGGAAGGCAGGAGGGCCCACAGATTCATGGGTGGGGGGGAAGTGCTCTGGAAAAGAAGAAGTGTCCATTACTCAACGGGGCTCGTATGATGTAATGTTGACACTCGGACCTTACACCAACTCTGTTGGTTAACATTCGTCTAAAAAGGGCAGTAGAGGGAAAGATATTTAGACCTGTTTTGGAGATACAGTATTCGTAAGTAGTTTTATTGGTTTTGCTCATTTTATCACAATATTATTAAACTCAATAAAGTGCGTTTGACATTAATTCGGAATGCAGAGCACTAAATAATAATGGGATTGGCCCAAACGTTTTAAATCTGGAGCGTCCTGAAAGTCTCAATTAAGGACAAAATAGTTCCCTTAGCAAATAACGCGGATGTGGTGCGATGTGCGGTGATGTCGCGAACTGTGCTCCGGTCACGGTGGAGGGAGCCGGGCGCGCATCGGTACACGATGACGTAAACATCCGGGCACTACTTGCGGTCGAGGCCCCAACTTTTGGCTTCACCTCGGCTTCTACTGCCGCCACCCTCGGCCCTTCCTTGCCGGTCTCTCTCGGCCCGCACGGCCCCGCAACGTTTGGTCGAGCCCTCGCTGCCTTCCCGCTTCACCCGCGCGTCCACCACCATTTCCGGCGGCTTCCCACAAGCGAGGCCTAGTCACGCTCGGGCCCCCCCCTCCTTGCCTGGGCCCTCCCGCCGCCCCGACCCCCACCCCCCCCGGGCTCGGCTGGTGTCGCGAACCGCCCTCCCAACGGGTGTCTTCCTCGTTCTCGATACTGGGCGATAATTGCGGCCGCCGAGTGCCGGATGTTTGTCAATGATTACGCAGCGTTAGGGCAGCAGCAGCAGCGAGAGCGTTGCGGGACGCGGCGAGCAGAGTCGGGAGCGTACGTGGCGGCATTGTTATAACATTAGCCGTGGCTCGGCGCGGGCGGTGAAGTGAAGAGGCCACAAAGGAGGAGACGAGACGAGAGGTCTGAAGGCGGAGAGCAGTAGCGGCTCTAACGAAGCGGAGACTGAACAGCAGAAGCAGCAGCAGCAGCATTCGACTGCAGCAGCAGCAGCAACATCGCCGGCAAACAACACAACACAGAGTTCACAACAACGGGTCCACGCCGACACCGCCGCCAAACATAAAGAACCACCCTCCCCATACGGGCGGCCTCGCAACAAGGGCAGCCGGGAACGACGGCTTCGGTGACAGCAGCAGCAGTGGTGGACAACAACAACATCAACAACAACAGCAGCTTCGAGAAACACCATCCGCACACTCTCCACCACCACGAGCAGCAGTCGGGACGACATCAACATCATCAGCGGTGGTCTCAAGGCGGCCGTAAACCGAGGCGGTGAATCCGCCCTCTGGTCCCCCCACACTTCTCTCCAGGTTGGTGTTGTTCAGGGTGGGTGAGGTGTGTGGGTGAGGTGTGTGGGTGAGGTGATCCTTGGAACTGCTGATGATGCTGCGTTGATGTTCGCAAGGAGAACGGTCACGGTTACTGCAGTCGGCCAGACGCCGTGCGGATGAATGAGGCCTTGATTTGGGGGGGGGCTCCTCTGTTGGCGCTCAAGTGACATTCCGTGACCAAGTGAGAATTTGTAGCCACAGGGGATTTGTGCGTGTTGAGGTTTAGCAACGCAAAGATGCGATTAATATTGATCGGCAAGCTCGCCCCGCCTTCACGAATCCGCACTGACCAGCGTGGTGAAGTATGGTGAAATGAGCTCCATGAACCCGCAAAGGTTAAACCCACACACACACATCCAAACAATGCTGCAGTCCTGTAGATGTACATGCACAAGCTCACGACACACACAGCACTCAAATCGCGTGTCGGATTCCACTTTTTTTTTAAAGGATTGTATGCAAATTGGAGCCACTAGTGACCGCTACATTCACCACGCGGTCAAAGAAAAAACACATTTAAAGCACCAGGGAGAAGTGGCTATTTATACCTAGTTTTTCAAATCATATATGAAACGATCAGGTGAGAGAGTGGGGAGATCTTACCGCGCATACAAATTCCACAAACAAAATGTTGATAATGATTTTGACAGATTCAATTGAATGGTTGAATCTTGACTTGAAGCTTTTGTGACTGCAAGAGTTGATATTCTTTGGGTCTATCGGTAAAGTCACGTTTAATTTATTTGTTTGGTTCTATGTGACTTTACCGAAAGACCCAACGAATATGAATGGTTGAACATTAGTGGGCACGCTGTAACGTGTTACCACCACCCCCACACTGAATTTTGATTTAAAGCTTTCGTGACTGCAGGGATTCATATTCTTGGTTCTTTCGGTAAAGTCATCACGTAGAAGGGAAATGATAAAATAATATGAATATAAAACAATACAAATTCTCACGACGTTTCGACTGCAACACAAGCAAATCATCATCAGGTGTGAAATCCACAGCATTTGACGATTGCTTGTGTTGCAGTCGAAACGTCGTGAGAATTTTTATTGTTTTATATTTGTATTATTATTTCCCTTCTACGTGACTTTACCGAAAGAACCAATAATATCACCACCCCCAAACTGCTTTAAGCAGTTGCGCAACACTGCCGAGCGTACACTTTTTTGTAAGACGGGCCCCGTTCCCTTCCAGACGTGACGGTCAAATGGTGCAACTTTGCAACGCGTCGAATGTTGTTCGCTGTTTGTAATTTCTCTTTCAATCGTTGCGCAAACGTCGTAGTTACATCGCTGCAGAACCAGCCAGCGTTGCCGATTCTGCAACGCAGTTCTTCCAACGTCGCTAGATTTGAACCTTTCCTGCAGCAAGTCGTGACCAAAACCTTCACCCCAGTACTGAGAGCGGAGCAAAATGATGTTTCACACCCACGTTTGTTTCATTCGACCGAATCGTGGCTTCGTTGGCACCTGTGCCAAGCTGTTGTGGATCAACACCGATTGTCTTTTTCCACTGCTCGTGTGACCACGCCGTCAACACTTGTATCGTGGGACCTTTTTTGTTTGTTCTTGTTGACAGTATCAAAGAATGATGAATAGGTGTTATTATTTCGATTTAAAGCTTTCATGACTGCAGGGATTCATCTTCTTGGTTCTTTCGGTAAAGTCACGTAGTCACGAAGTCACATTCTTCAGCTGAGGACGGCTGCTTGCGTTGTGGCCGAAACGTCGTGAGAATTACTTTATTATGTTTTATTTTTATTATTTTATTATCTCCCTTCTACGTGACTTTACCGAAAGAACCAAGAAGAGGTGTTATTATCCTTTCTGGTAATAAAACAGCAGGTGTTGAGATGTTCAAACACCAAATAGATACATTTTGCGAGGAGCCAAGTCTGTGTTAACCGCATTCGGTACTTGTGGTGAACATGGAAACACAAAAATTCACTTGATCCGCCTACTCCCAACAAAAACCCTCTCTGGACAATAGGCCTTTTGCAGTTTAATCAAGCGTTCTTTTCTCTCTCTCTCTCTCCAGGACACTTCCATTATTGCAGTATCCTCTTCTGGATTATAAAAAGGACTTTCCCGACTCTGTTCGTTGTGCTTTGAAGGAGGTCCAGTGCCCGAAACGCCACCTATTTTGATTTAAAGCTTTCGTGACTGCAGGGATTCATATTCTTGGTTCTTTCGGTAAAGTCACCTGATGATGATTGCTTGTGTTGCAGTCGTAACGTCGTGAGAATTTTAATGTTTGATATTTTTATTATTTAATTGTTTCCCTTCTACGTGACTTTACCGAAAGAACCAAGAATATGAATGTGACTTCTTTTGCTCTTGTATTCTTAAGAGCAATGGTTACGTTTGCTGCTCATAATCCAGAAGGTGTGTGTGAGACCAGATTCGTATAGCTCTAGTGACATTGGGCACGCGTTTTTAGGTACGTCTTACTTTCTGGAGAATCCTATACTCTGGGGGATATGGAAAACACATTCTTGCGGAGGGAGCTGGTAGGAACGTTGGGTTGCTCGGTCAGTGGCCAGGGTCAACGGCGGCGTGATGTATTCCGCAAATATGCCCGACTGTGAGGGCGGGCACAAGCCGGCGTGAGTAGGTTAAACGTTGAGTTTTATAAGGGCACCACGGGGTGACCATCTCCTCCCCACCCAGCCCGTCCCCACCCAGCCCCTCCCCACCCTCACCCAGCCACACCCCTCCCATTTTTGGATGCACGACGGATGGACACAATAATCCCCTGTGGGCTGGTGTAACCAGGAGGTTCCTACCAGTATAACAGCAGGAGCTGTCAAGAGCTCTCTCAAAGTAGGTCGGGGTTTGTTGGGACTGCTCCGGCTATGAACACAATCATGATTAATGGTTTGGGGTTTAGGGAAATGTATTATAAATGTGTGTATAAAAACGAAAGTTGAGTTTCTTAAGTGCCTTCGCTAAAGCGGATGTATCCAGTTGGCTTATTAAAAACAGTGTCACATGCTTATGAACGAATTCTTCCCTTTTTAAATTTAGCGTTCACATTTCAATGACACCCAACGCACGAAATCACACCCAGTCAATAGCATCGCCCCTCGCATGTGAAATTGGACTACAGTAAAACAGATTTATTTTTTGCACGTTGGTTTTCAATGCAACAATCCATGTAGCACCTACACGGGGAGCTGATTCAACAGCTCCATCTCCATGGTAGACGTCCTCTTGGGGGTGCGTTGCCTTCTGTGGCTGCAGCTGTCATTTAGTCATCCGTTCGAGAAATGTGGGCTGCATTAATCTTTTTTTCAAATTATGTCTGTAACTTATACTTGTTCCTTTTTGTCGCTCGGTGTAATTCCAAGTATGCACCTCTCCATACTTTTTTGGCGACTTTTCAGAATGGGTTCCATTTGCTTTGTCAACATCGATATTTCTTATCCAGATACCATCGGAGTCATTTAATCTGATCGTAGACGGTATTCGTTGGATACAGTGATGTGTATATGCTATATGGAATGGCTTTACTTAACTCCTTGGGAGAATAGAGGCTCTGTCGTTTACCACAGGAAGAAAAAACATCCGTACGCATGGATTCAGTAACGCTTTCCAACATTGCATGAATGATGATACGCGCCGAGCCGAACAATGCGATGACATGATTTTGCAAGGCTACTTCACACGTAATGACCTCATCGGGAGGTGAGGTGCATGCATGACTTGTGACGTAGGCAGATGGCAGCACACGGAATGGCATCGCCTTGGATTGCAAGGATAATTCTTTTGGAACTTGATTTTTTTTTTCGCCAAAAAAAATGGGCAACCCAAAATTAATTTTCAATTTCTTCTCGAATAAGTAGGTAATATCAACTTATTTTATAGGACGGTATTTTTCTTTCGAATTAACTTTTGAGCGTAGTCCTGCCTCCCTTACAAGGCCGGCAGATGGACCAAACCAGCGCATCAACGCTTCAACCTTATTTGGAAAAGCGATAAAAAGGAATCGTTTATTGCGCTGAGTCAAGGACCCCTCTTACAGTCTCATCGGTTGAATCGTGACCCTGAACCGTGCCAATTCATCCCATCCCCAGGGGGAGGTGAATCATCCCAGCCCTAATGAAAACCAATAAAGAACACGATATCCAATAATAAAAGCCTACGTGTTAAACCCAGTAAAGAACACGCCTCCATCGTTAGACAGTGAGCAATACAACTGTTCCTCTCACATTAGGCATCTACGAACTTTAGAATGTAAGTGCATGTTTGCGTCAGTGTTGGGTGGAGGTTGGTTGTTTTTTTTTGTTACTGCCTTTTGTCAATCCACCCCAATGACTGACCAGCTGTGTCAGTCATGGGGTGGTTTGATCATGCTTGACACTGGTCATTCCTGGTTGGTTTAAGTGGGAAGCCCATAGCCGGTTCAGATATTGTTCGCCACTGATATTAACTGTGGTTGACAATGTAACTCAAGTCATCGGGGGAAATAGCGCAGGGTTACAACGCAAATTAATCCTATTTGGTAGACATTAATCCCATCGGTTGATAGTTAAGGGCACTCCTGTGCCAGGCCGAACACCCAAATGAGGTGAATATTCTAATCACAACACTCATTGGCATCGGTCATAACATGAAACTCAGTGCTTAACAGAACACTTTAAAGGTAATGGTGAAAATTATTATTCGTCTTTGCCTGCTGCTGCTGCTGCTGCCACAATCCTTCATGACTGACATGGCATGGAGAGGCCTTCATCCAGCTCGTTCATTCGTTTGTTTCTCAGTCCACTTGTCCTGGTGAGGGTCGCAGCAGCAGCATGTTGCGTAGTGGCGTTCCAGACCTCCCTCTGGCAACAGACTCTAGCTCTTCCTTGGGAATTCCCAGGCGTTCCCAGGCCAGCCGAGCGACATCGTCCCAACGCCAGCGTGTCCTGGGCCGGCCCCGGGGTCTTCGCCCAGTGGGACGTGCTGCTGCCCGGTAGAGTTCAAGG